GATTAAGACAAATCACCAATAAATATATAACTTCTAGTTCTTATATTATTTTTCTCTCCCTCTATCATAGTCTCTCTACTCCTTCTCTATTTTGTACTCTCTCCCTTAGACTTTGATATGTCCTAACCCACCCATATCCCCTTCTTTTTCCATAGTTTATATTCCTCACCAAGGGAATTTCTTTTAGAAGAAGCGACACAAGCAGAAGTTTGGATTGTAGTATGCAGAAAATACTGCCACCCCAGCCTTTGTGCCAACAAGTTTCCTCTGAATAGATTTGTAGCTAGGACTCAGAAGGACTTATGGCTCAGTACTTTGCCTTTACGAATGTGCTTATATTTTTTAGCTTCAGGACATCTGAAATTAGTAGAAGTTTCCAACAACTTCTTCTTAGAGTTATTCTGATATAGGGTGTTGTGCCCATCAGTTACTATCTTGCTGTATCCAAGAAGTCAGAGATAACTATGCTTAAAGTGTGCATGTGTCAGAATCCTTCCATGAAGTTATATTCAAATCAGTAAATTTCCTTTATCTCTCTCTCACTCTTTGTGCATCTGTTTTGCTCATCTGCACTTAGCACAATGTCTGCACTTGACAGGCACTACGTGAATGTGAATCTAAGTAATAAAATAGGTTTGTTCTTATGCCTGGTGGACACTCATTCGCCAACCTGTATCTGTTTCCTTCTGGATTGATATATTTGCACAAAATTATCCCTCAAATTGTTAATGACTGAATTGATTACAGTCACTTATTAGTGTTTAACTTTTATGATTGTTAGTAGGAAGATAGCAGGTACAGTGAAAATACCATAGGCTCAGAGTAAGATAGATATAGTTTGAGACAAGCCCACCTCTGCGCCCTTCATAGTTGACTTCATTAACCTCTCTGGACTTCAGTTTCATCAATTATAAAATGGATCTAATACTGTCTACTTCCCATGGTGCCTACCTATATAGGAGATAGATAGATAGATAGATAGATAGATAGATAGATAGATAGATGATAGATAGATAGATCCATCCATCCTATCCCGTGTAAATGTTCAGCAAAGGGTAGCTATTATTTTTTATTATTTTTTATTTTTTAAAGATTTTTATTTATTCATGAGAGATACAGCAAGAGAGAGAGGCAGAGACATAGGCCAAGGGAGAAGCAGGTTCCGTGCAGGGAGCCCTATATGGACTCGATCCCGGATCCCAGGATCACACCCTGGGCCAAAGGCAGATGCCCAACCGCTGAGCCACCCAGGCGTCCCATGTAGCTATTATTATTTATATCTTATTATATAAATATACTTTCATTAGTGTAGTTATTATCTGTATGCTCTCTTTATTATGAGTATTAGAAAAAGCTAGTACATACAGGAAATCTTAGTATCTTTAGCCTTTCTCAACCAATTTTGGGGGAGAACTAAGTGCTGATGCTTTAAAACATCCATTGTCTGTAATTAGTTAACTTCACATTATTTTCTATGTTCTGTGGTTCAGATGAGGAACCACAGAAGAAAAAGGTAACATGGAAAATAGAAGAGAATAGAGAACATTCTAAGGAAATGTAAAATTCAAAAAATTTGTTATAGAGATTCAGGGCCTTTAAGAGGTGTGCCTGACAGGAAACAACAAATGTTGGAGAGGATGTGGAGAAAAGGGAACCCTCTTACACTGTTGGTGGGAATGTGAACTGGTGCAGCCACTCTGGAAAACTGTGTGGAGGTTCCTCAAAGAGTTAAAAATAGACCTGCCCTACGACCCAGCAATTGCACTGTTGGGGATTTACCCCAAAGATTCAGATGCAATGAAACGCCGGGACACCTGCACCCCGATGTTTCTAGCAGCCATGTCCACAATAGCCAAACTGTGGAAGGAGGCTCGGTGCCCATCGAAAGATGAATGGATAAAGAAGATGTGGTTTATGTATACAATGGAATATTACTCAGCCATTAGAAACGACAAATACCCACCATTTGCTTCAACGTGGATGGAACTGGAGGGTATTATGCTGAGTGAAGTAAGTCAATCGGAGAAGGACAAACAGTGTATGTTCTCATTCATTTGAGGAATATAAATAATAGTGAAAGGGAATATAAGGGAAGGGAGAGGAAATGTGTGGGAAATATCAGAAAGGGAGACAGAACATAAAGACTCCTAACTCTGGGAAACGAACTAGGGGTGGTGGAAGGGGAGGAGGGCGGGGGGTGGGGGTGAGTGGGTGACGGGCACTGAGGGGGACACTTGACGGGATGAGCACTGGGTGTTATTCTGTATGTTGGTAAATTGAACACCAATAAAAAATTTATTAAAAAAAAAAAGAGGTGTGCCTGAAAGAATGTAGGACTGAAAGTATCTCTTATTCATCACTGTGTCCCTAAGTTCAACGTGAACCTAGCACAGAGTAGATACTAATAAATATTTATTGAATTATTGAAATAAATGAGTGAGTGATCAATGGCATGTGGTGAGATAACACTAAATGTTTCTGTGAAGACTGTTCACCTAAACAATTAGTAAGACCATTTTTGAAAACAGCTCTATACTACATCTGTATACCGACATGCATTGATGTATACCTCCTGCTTGTGTCCATCTGTTCAAGAGTCTCTTTTTCAGACATTGTATCTCTTTGATCACAGTCCTTATACTTTAGGCCATGTTTTGGCTAGTAAAGTAACACATACTTATGATAATTATAACAGGAGTGGCAGTTTACAATGCCAGACAGTCTGCTAAATGCTTTACAGTAGCTTATGATAGATATGACAGTGTGGCCTGGGGGAAGAGCCAAAATGCAAACCAGGCAATTGACATCAGAGCCCATGCTCCTCAGAACTCTGCTGCCCTACCTCCCTGTGCTAGGAAGACAAAGAAGAGACTAAATTAACCACGCTCTGTACTTGCTGCTCACTATTCTTAGGGTAAGCTACAGACAGAAATAGCCAGAAACCTCCTATCCGGAATGAAATATGTAGTGAGCCTCTGTGGCTTTTCACCATGCAGCATCTCTCCCTTTTTCCAATGAGGCCAGTCCTCCGATTTAGCTTTTGAAAATTACTCTTCCTCCATTGAAGTCTAGTGGACTAGTAGAAGGAACTCAGTCTTCAGTTTTAGCAGATTGCTCCTTAATAATTTTCTTATTTCCTAAATAATGAAATCAAGAATCTAAAAAGTATTGTGCTCTAGTGACTTCTAGGAGACATAAAGTACTATTCTTGGGAGAATTATGAACATTTGCTTGCCTCAAAACTGCTGTATTCCCTATATCCAAGATCATGGGGGGGAAATTATAGGTCCTCAGAGAATCCCTGTGGGTGAGTGGTTGGGTGTATGCATGGACAGTTGAGTGGACAAGCAAGCTAAGGGTGTCATAGTGCTGAGACAGAATTTGCATAAATGCCAGTCTACACAGCCCATCCCTGTGTATGGTGCACAACCACACAGCACATACACTGAATCCCAGCCGTATTGATTTAGGTCCATTGGATTTATTTCTAATCCTATCGTTTTGAAAATACCTGTTTTGTTTGCAATATTCACACAGGCCTTTTTGTTACTTAATTGTGACATTTAACTATCATATATGTTATGAGCACTAATGGTTAAAGAATATGTATGGAATTTTGATTCTCATTTTTGTATTTAAAAAAGTTTTGATAGCATGACTATAGAAAATTGGAAAATGTTTTTTAGTGCTCAAATGTATGATTCCATTTCCCTAATATAAATACTAATGTCATCTATTATCTTTCCACTGCTTTTCTACATGCTTATAAAAGTATTTTAAATACTTTTGAGATCGTATCTGCAAAATTATCTTTATGATGTAAATTGCTTTTCATGACAAGGGAGGTGGAAAGGTTGTGCTTCAGCTTTCTCTTACTTTCCATGACACTGCTGCCTTTACCTGCAGTAAGTGTTGGAGGCTAGAGACCTGAAATTATATCAAAGAAATTAAGGATAACTAATATAGTGACTAAATGCAATATTTCTTTGATATAAGAAGGCAGGATCCTAGTGTTAGAAAAATCAAATCTCTTCTCAACTTAAATACGTTAACTTCAGTAATCGTACCCGAAGTTATTTCTTCTTTAAAAATTCATGTTTTTCTTTTCTCCCTCTCTCTCTCTCTCTCTCTCTCTCGAGAGAGAGAGAGAGAGAGAGAGAGAACAAGAGCATGGGCGGCAGGGGCAGAAGGAGAGAGAGGATCCTAAGCAGGCTTGGCACCCAGCACAGAGCCCCCCAACACAGGACTAAATCTCACAACCCTGAGATCATGAACTAAGCCAAAATCAAGAGTCCGATGTTTAACCATCTGAGCCACCCAGGCACCCTATAAAAACTCATGTTTTTCTATTAAAGAATAATGTAAGTTATAATATATAATAGAAAGGCTTGAGATTTTATCTTTTTAGTAGGAAAATAGGTTTATCCTTTTTTTTCCCCACTAAAAAGTACCAATCTAAATTTTCATTCTTAATCATGGTTATCATATTAGCCTATACAATTAATATGTTTGTTTCTACCTTTTTCATATAGTTTTGAGTTTCTGTTTTTATTTTAGCAATCTTATTGAAACTTCTTTAATCTCTTCATACCTTTTCCTATAAATAGGTCACAAATTATAAAACAAATGTATTTTGGATGTATAGATGGTTTTAATTTTTAAATAAAATAATTTATTTTTTCACATGGATAAAACCATGATACAGGCCTCTTTTTTCTTTTTCCCCCCCGAGGATGGCCTTTTAATCACAAACTACTTGGCCACAGTCCGGCCTGAAGTTGGAGCCTGAGGTTGGAACATTGGGAGGCAGAGCCCGGGACCCTCCCTGGGAACAGAGCCAGCGATGCAACCCCCCTACCCCCACCCCCGTCACTTCTACCCCCCAGCCAGGGGCTCTCAGGTTAACACCGAACTCCTGATGGCCCTTCTGGGGAGAAGTACGGGGACGGGGCCCGGCTCTGCCGTGAGGGCGCAGCAGCTGTCCCCGGGCCAGGCCAGGGCTCCCCCTCAGCGGGCGGCCACCCCCTGGCCTACACGATGCCCTCGGGGCGCTTGCTTCTCCACACCACCAGCATCATCACCAGCAGGGTCACCAGGATGGGCACCACGATGAAGGGGCACAGGATGCTCCGGGGAGGGTCACACACGGCCCTGCCGGACGTGGGGCAGTTTCTGAAGTAGCGCTGGTGCACGGCGACAAAGAACTTGTCCACGGCGGCGTTCGGCCAGAAGCAGTCCAGCTGGTCCGCCACGTGCCGGGTGCAGTCCGTGAGCTCCCCGTAGCTCCTGATGGTCTTGGCCCAGTCGCACCACAGCGTCTTCCCGATGGCCTCCATGCTCACCTTGAAGCGGGTGAGGCACAGCTCCTGGAGGAGAGCGCCGTAGTCGGCGTCCTGGCAGGCCGTGGCCACGAGGAGGTGGTGCACCAGCAGCAGCCAGACGCTGCGTCGCGGGAGGCCGCGCAGGCTCCGAGCCATGGCGCGCGCCTTTTTTTTTTTTTTCCTGGAAAGTCATTTTAATTAGCTTACACAGGCGGCAAAGAGGGAGACATGGAAGCTGACCTGATGGGCTGTGCTTCAGACACTGCCAGGTCTCCCTCCTCCTGGATCCCAAAAGGATTAGCAGCAGCTCTCTAAGAGGCCCCAGGCCTCCGACAGCAAAGACAGAGGACAGTCAGCCCCAGAAAACTGATGGGAAAGTCGTGGGTTATGGGTGCTCAACGTTAAGCGGACGAGGGTGGTGGAAGGAGTGAGTGTGGACTCACACAGGGCTCTCTGAGGCTCCATCCAGCAGGGCTGTGTTTAAGTCTGGGTCAGGCAGAGGAAAGAGCCACAGAGAAAAGCTGAGAGCCCCAGAGGAGGGGCAAAGGCCCTGGGGCAGACAGAGCCATGGACAATACCCACCGCAAGCTTAGGCAAGGCCCCTGCAACACCCCTTGCAAACAAAGCCATCCACACAGTTCAGGGGCCTTGGTCTCTACAAGGCCTGTGTCAGGTTTTATCCTGATAAAACCTCTTTATTTTATTTTTTATGTTTTTATTTAAATTCCATGAATTAACACACAGTGTGGTATTAGTTTCAGGTGTACAACACAGTGATTCAACACCCATACAACACCCAGTGCTCATCACAAGTACTTTCCTTAATCCCCATCATCTATTTCTCCAATCCCCCACCCATATCCCCTCTGGTCACCACCAGATTCTTCTCTATATTTAAGTGTCTGTTTCCTGGTTTGTGTGTCTCTCTTTTTTTCTTCCCTTTGTTCGTCTGTTTTGTTTCTTAAATTCCACAAGTGACTGATATCATATATTTGTCTTTGTCTAACGTTTGACCTATTTTTGATACACATATCTCCATTTATTTTACTTTTATAGCTGCTAGCATTCTAACACCTTCTATATTTCTTTTTTATTTTAATGGAGTTTCAACTTGCCAACATATAGCATAACACCCAGTGCGCATCCCATCAAGTGCTCCCCACAGTGACCGTCACCCAGTCACCCCCAACCCGCGCCCACCTTCCTTTCCACCACCCGTTGTACGTTTCCCAGAGTTAGCTGTCTCTCATGTTCTGTCTCCTTTTCTGTCTCCTTTTCTGATATTTCCCACTCATTTCCCCTTTATTCCCTACCACTATTTTTTATATTCCCCAAATGAATGAGACCATATAATGTTTGTCCTTCTACGATTGACATATTTCACTCAGCATAGTATGCTCCAGTTCCATCCACGTTGAAGCAAATGGTGGGTATTTGTCGTTTCTAATGGCTGAGTAATATTCCATTGTATACAGAGACCACATCTTTATCCATTCATCTTTCGATGGACACCGAGGCTCCTTCCACAGTTTAGCTATTGTGGACATTGCTGTTAGAAATATCAAGGTGCAGGTATCCCAGCCTTTCACTGCATCTGTATCTTTGGGGTAAATCCCCAGCAGTGCAATTGCCGGGTCGTAGGGTAGCTCTATTTTTATCTCTTTGAGGAACCTCCACAGTTTTCCAGAGTGGCTGCATCAGTTCACATTCCCACCAACAGTGCAAGAGGGTTCCCCTTTCTCCACATCCTCTCCAACATTTGTTGTTTCCTGCCTTGTTAATTTTCCCCATTCTCACTGGTGTGAGGTGGTATCTCACTGTGGTTTTGATTTGTATTTTCCTGATGGCAAAAAAAATAAAAAAAGTAAACGTTTGATAGTGTTCCCCTGGGAGCCATCTGGCCCTGGACTTTTGTGTCTTGGGAGGTTTTTGATGACTGCTTCAATTTCCTCCCTGGTTATTGGCCTGTTCAGGTTTTCTATTTCTTCCTGTTCCAGTTTTGGTAGTTTGTGGTTTTCCAGAAATGAGTCCATTTCTTCTAGATTGCCTAATTTGTTGGTGTATAGCTGCTCATAATATGTTTTTAAAATCGTTTGTATTTCCTTGGTGTTGGTGGTGATCTCTCCTTTCTCATTCATGATTTTATTAATTTGAGTCTTTTCTTCTAAGACTTCTTCTTTTTAATAAGGCTGGCTAATGGCTTATCTATCTTATTAATTCTTTCAAAGAACTAACTCCTAGTTTTGTTAATCTGTTCCATAGTTCTTCTGGTCTCTATTTCATTGAGTTCAGCTCGAATCTTTATTAACTCTCTTCTTCTACTGGATGTAGGATCTATTTGCTATTTTTTCTCCAGCTCCTTTAGGTGCAAGGTTAGCTTTTTGTATTTGAGTTCTTTCCAGTTTTTGGATGGATGCTTGTATTGCGATGTATTTCCCCCTCAGGACTGATTTTGCTGTATCTCAAAGATTTTGAATGGTTGTATCTTCATTCTCATTAGTTTCCATGAATCTTTTAAATTCTTCTCTAATTTCCTGGTTGACCCTTTCATCTTTTAGCAGGATGGTCCTTAACCTCCATGTGTTTGAAATCCTTCCAAACTTCTTCATGTGATTTAGTTCTAGTTTCAAAGCATTATGGTCTGAAAATATGCAGGGTACAATCCCAATCTTTTGGTATCAGTTAAGACCTGATTTGTGACCCGGTATGTGGTCTATTCTGGAGAAAGTTCCATGGGCACTTGAGAAAAGTGTGTATTCAGTTGTGTTTGGATGTAAAGTTCTGTAAATATCTGTGAAATCCATCTGGTCCAGTGTATCATTTAAAGCTCTTGTTTCTTTGGAGATGTTGTGCTTAGGAGACCTGTTGATTGTAGAAAGTGTTACATTCAAGTCACCAAGTATAAGTGTATTATTATCTAAGTATATCTTAACTTTGGTTATTAATTGATTGATATACTTGGCAGCTCCCACATTCGGGGCATAAATATTCATGATTGTTAGGTCCTGTTGTTGGATAGATCCTTTAAGTATGATATAGTATCCCTCTTCATCTCTTACTACAGTCTCCGGGATAAACTTTAGTTTATCTGATATAAGGATGGCTACCCCTGCTTCTTTTGAGGACCATTTGAATGGTAAATGGTTCTCCAACCTTTTATTTTCAGGCTGTAGGTGTCCTTACCTCTAAAATGAGTCTCTTGTAGACTGCAAATAGATGGGTCTTGCTCTTTTATCCAGTCTGAAACCCTTCGCCTTTTGATGGGGTCATTAAGCCCATTCACGTTCAGAGTTACTATTGAAAGATGAATTTAGGGATCCCTGGGTGGCGCAGCGGTTTGGCGCCTGCCTTTGGCCCAGGGTGTGATCCTGGAGACCCGGGATCGAATCCCACGTCAGGCTCCCGGTGCATGGATCCTGCTTCTCCCTCTGCCTGTGTCTCTGCCTCTCTCTCTCTCTGTGTGACTATCATAAATAAATAAAAATTAAAAAAAAAAGATGAATTTAGTGTCATCATGATACCTATTCAGTCCCTGTTTTTGTGGATTGTTCCCTTGGGCTTCCTCTTTCTATTACAGAATCCCCCTTCATATTTCTTGCAGAGCTGGCTTGGTGGTCACATTCAGTTTCTGCCTATCTTGGAAGCTCTTTATCTCTACTTCTATTCTGAATGAGAGCCTTGCTGGATAAAGGATTCTTGGCTGCAGGTTCTTCTCATTTAGGACCCTGAATATATCCTGCCAGCTCTTTCTGGCCTGCCAGGTCTCTGTGGAGAGGTCTGCTGTTAATCTAATATTTCTCCCCATAAAAGTTAGAGATTTCTTGTCTCTTGCTGCTTTAAGGATCTTCTCTTTATCTTTGGAATTGCAAGTTTCACTATTAAATGTCGAGGTGTTGAGCGTTTTTTATTGATTTTAGGTGGGGATCTCTCTATCTCCTGGATCTGAATGCCTGTTTCCCTTCTCAAGTTAGGAAAGTTCTCAGCTATGATTTGTTCAAATACATATTCTTTGACCTCTGTCCCTTTTGGCACCCTTGGGAACCCCAATTAAATGTAGATTTTTCCTTCTGAGGCTGTCATTTATTTCCCTTAGCCTATCCTCATGATCTTTTAATTGTTTTTCTGTTTTTTTCCTCAATTTCCCTCCTTGCCATCAACTTGTCTTCTGTGTCATTCACTCATTCTTTTACCTCATTAACCCTCGTTAGGACCTCTAGTTTGGATTGCATCTCTTTTAATTGAGTTTTAATTTCTGCCTGATTAGATCTAAATTCTGCAGTCATGAAGTCTCTTGAATCCTTTATGCTTTTTTCTAGAGCCACTAGTAGCTTTATAATTGTGCTTCTCAATTGGCTTTCTGACATTGAATTATAATTCAAATTTTTTGACTCTGTGAGAGAGAGGACTGTTTCTGATTCTTTCTTTTGAGGTGAGTTTTTCCTTCTAGTCATTTTGCTCAGTGCAGAGTGGCCAAAAAAAATTTGTACTGGAAAAAGGAGAAAAAGAGAGAAGAGAAAAAAGAAAAGAAAAAAGAAGAAAATAAAAGGGGGGGGGAAGCAAACAAAACAAAAAAACAAGGGGGAGTATCCTCTGATTCTATATACTGTAAATCCCTCGACTTCCCCTGGAACTTTCCAGTGCTGCTTGGTCAATAACTTGCTTTCCCCCTGTCCATCTAGCTGGTCTTCTGGGGGAGGGGCCTGCTGTGCTGATTCTCAGGTGTGAGCACCTGGGGTAGCTTCTCAGCCTGGTGCACGGCTCAGTGGGAGTTGTTTTTCCTGTTTATCCTGTGAGGCCACTGTGAGGCTCAGTGGGGGTTGTTTATCCTGTGAGGCCCCAGAAGGAACAACAGTGGCTGCAGCCAGCTCTCCAGCCTTGGAGTCAGCTCCCGCAGTAACTACCTCAGCTCCCAGTCCGCAGGGGCCTGGATGCTCCGGGGGCGGAGGCTGCTGATCTGCACAGCTCCCTGCCGCCCGGTGGTGGCAGGAGCGTCCTGGCTGTCCTGGGCCCTCAGGCCTCTGCCTATCCCGGGGGGGAACACCGGATATGGGCTATGTCCCCCGGTGCCCTGGGCTCCAGGACCTGCGCTGATGGAATTGCGCTCGCCGGGGCGCACAGCCCCCTCTGCCTGAGCCACAGCCAGAGCTGCTCCCGGGC